TTTTTTTATCTTTTATATCTTTTTTATCTAATTTATCTTTTTTGTCTTTTTTATCAATTTCTCACCTTTTACTTACTAAAAATGGTAATTATTGCTGGAAATAAAAAAAATATGAAATAAAATATAAAAATAGTAATGGCACAGCCCAATTTTGGGTAGTGCTGTGCCTAGTTCACCCATCACAACATATATTGAGAAGATTTGACTAGTAATCTTGAAGCTAAAACTAGACTAACACTAATCTAAACATCTCAAAATAATGTAATCTACTATTCTAGTGCTCTAAACAATAGAGTCAATGTATAAAGACTTCTAGAACTTTGAAGTGGAAGGCTTTAAATAAAGGTGTGAATAACTTGGTCTAAGATTTAAAGTCTTTTGGGTCTTGAAATATTGTATATGACTTTGAACAAGTATTCTGTATTCTTTTTACTGTCTTAATTGTCTTGTTATATTGATAGTTCCAACTCTTATTCCTTCTATCTCTATGCTTTAGAATGTTTTTAGTCTTTTTAGTTATATGCTATATTACTAGTATAGCTGCAGTAATTAGAAGTTTAATGTTCAATTTAATCTATAATCTATATTACAGGAATTGAATATCAGAAATTAGATTCTTAATTTAACCAATAGTATCATGAGATGCTGATATCACAGGTAATTTGGCTAATCAATACAATTAATATATATAATGCTTTAATCACTAATTTGATTGTTTTACTAATTAGTGATAACAATATATTATAGGGAAGTTAAGTATTTTACTATATAAGGATATTGAATATGAATTTGGTTCTTTTATCTTTTGACAATTGATATAAGACTTTTGGTATTATCAGATTACAGGTAATTACGTATAATGATTTTATTATAGTGATTTTAGATATCAGAGATAATGTTTATTAACAAACAACTTCTACTATAAGAGGTTCAAAGTTTTGAGTTTTAGAAGTCAGTAGTGAGTTATCTTTATTAAAAAGTGAGCAAAAGCTAAAACTTACAAGCTAAGAAAAGATAAAATTAAATCAATTTTATCTATTGTATTCTTTTTATCTTTTTTATCCATTTTATCTTTTTTAACTAATTTATTGTTTTTGTCTTTTTTATCCTAATTCTACCTTTTACAAACTACAAATAGCAATTGTAGCCAAAAAATAAAAAATAGTAATAGTACAGCCAAATTTCAGGTATTGAACCTAGATGCCGCACAAAAAATAAGCAGCAGATCCTCGATTTTGATTGGCTAACAGCTGAGGATCTTCAAAATTTTGACACGCATTACAAAATTGTTTACTAATTTCCAGCCAAAATTAACATTTTAATTTTTTCATTACAAAAATAAAAATAAGCCTGCATTATAGTAAAATTGACCTAAGAACAATTTTCATTTAATAGGCGGCTGTGATTTCATTAGTAAAATTATGAGTAATTCCGGTCTAATTTTTGATTGTCGCTTTTAGCCAATCAAAATCGAGGATCTGCTGTGCATTTTTGTGCGGCACCTCATAGGAAGACATTTATATGATTGGTTAATTTTTGTAGATCTACCCATTATATTCCGTGATAATTAACCAATTAAATATATAATTTTTAATTAATACTACGATATTAGAAAATGAAAGAAACTTCGTATAAAGAAGCTTACAAATAAATAAATGCACGTGAAAGAACTATATGGGCAAATTTGATTCCATTGACGATCATTTGTGATGTTTTCAAATAAGATCCACCAATCAAATAAATTTGTCTTACGCTAAAAATCAATCAGATAATCAGATTATTATTTAAAAATCACAAAATTTATTTTTAGACTAATAATTTTAAAGAAAACTTCTTGCAATTGTGGTTTTGAGCAATCCTAAATCAGTTTTAAATCAGTTTTTCGCAGAAATGAGCAAAGGGCAAGTCAATATATTTAAATGTTTAAATTGTTAACATGTTAAAACGAAAATAAAAATTTTATATCAAGTTTTTTAGCACTTACAAAAAAACTTTATTTTATTTTAACGTTTAGGTTATTCATGAATACAGAACTAATTTAATTAGAACTTGTAGGCACATATAAGAAGTATATACAGTATAATGAAGCGAATAAGCCAAATTTAAGTATGGTAAAATTTAGATATGGTGAGGGTGAATACCATATATATTACTATAATATGTTAGTATGAGCGTCATGAGCATTAGTAAATATTACGAAGTTATGTTTATTATAATACCAAGTTGTTAATAATACGTATTTGTTTTAGTGTAAATAATGTTTTTTAAAATGTTATAAATCAATACGTATTAGAAAAAAAATTTTTTCCTTTTTTTTATAAACTGGGAGTCTAATCGGTACTTATGTACATATGTGTGTACATTTTTTTCTTGATAAAAAATTTTTTGTCGTTGGTCGTATTCGCAAATATCACATGTGACAAAATCGAATAGAGTCAAATTGACCCATATGCTTATTATTAATATATAGAGAATGGATAGATACGCGTAAAGTGGGCAAATAAGATGTTTATTACTAATAAACCCAAACTATTAAAGAACATACCATATAAGATATAAATTAAAACTATTAAAACTTTAACTAATTTACGCTAACAAGCTCAAACACACTACAAGAACCGACCAAATATAAATATTAAGCCGGATCTTCTTGTTAAAGAGCTGGTACCCATTCAAATTAAACAGTTAGAAATAAAAGCTTATTTAAATCTAACGTAATAAAATAGTTTTAGACGAAAACATTTCTGGTTACCTTCACTCTACAGTATAGTTTGATATGGTCCAATAAGCGGTAGGCATATTTTGCCTTCTAAGTAAAGTTCGCGGGGATACTGATTATTACTGATTATTTTTGCATAGTGAATATAAACGTTCTATCGAAGCGAAAAATGACTTTTGCGGTGATTTTTTATTAGTGAAACGTTGTGTTCCCAAAAAGTACTTTAAAGTGCATAAATAAGTTACCCGGGCAATTGATTTACATCAGCCAATCAGACGAATGTCCTCCTATGACATGAACTCCGTTCCTGGTATACATAAAAGTATGATCTGCAAATCATACTATTTGATTGGTTGAGGCCCATCACATGATCATGTGATACATAACGAATAGTATTGTTACCATCGGCAATTGCGGATGTTAATCCAATTTAGCTCCGATGGTTAACTTGGTTCGGGGTTTATAATACTTATACACGTGATATGATGTCACGAAACTCTTAAGCTGAGTCGGGGTTAATGCTTAATATATCAACTTTAATTATTCGGGTAATTTATTATATGACAATAAGAAATACGAGACAACAATAATAAAGAAATAAACTAAACTAATACATATACTCAAATACAACATAAGGGGGGGGATCCGGATATAAACTATAACTAAGACATCAAGGGTTCTATATATATTGAGACTAATACGGTCTAATGAGACCTTGCCTGAGGAAACTTAACTAAGGCAGAAATCCTGCCTTAAATACCTTTTACCTTACTAAGAGTTACTGCGCTACTATACTAATTTCCCCTACAATACTTCCTATCACTTGCAAGTTGATTGCTTGCAATCTAAAAAAAAGCCTCCGATCAGGGCTTTGCTTTGCGCGCAAAATGCGCGCAATCTATCAGCCCTTTCTATCTATCATATAACTAAATTAACAAACAAATAATAATAAAATAAAAATAAAGAAATAAAAAAATGTAGAATTTTAAGCCCCGGTCTTTAAGTCACGGGAACCCGTGACAGTATCTACCAGAAAATATTTCTATACCCTGTTCTTATTATACTTCTATACTAATTTTTTCTCGTTTATTGCAGATTTTAAATTCAGCTGTTCCAAATTTTTACAATTCTTTTGATTATATTAGTGCCACCCATACTTTTAATAAAAATATCTTAAAATCAAGCAATTTAATACCGATAATTTTAATTTGAATCTTCTTAATGAGATGATTCAAATAATAGTAAGAACATTAGGTACCAAGTTGCATAATTTTAAGATATTTTTTATTAAAAGTTAATATTCAAAAAGTACAAGTTGTAGGTTTTCCCTTGGCGGCACTCATATGTTATATTGGAAATCTGATTTGAGATTTATGTTCTCATGAGAACAAATTTATTAAATTAAGGTTCTCGGAAATTAATTTATGTTCTCAACATAAAATTTATTTATATCCCTATTTTTAAATTTCGGAAATATCGGCTATTTATTCGAATTTTTGTCCAACCCTTCTCGTATTTTATGTTCTTTCATTTCCTTTCGGATGATTTCGGAACTTCCTTCAACTCCTAGTTTTATTTCCATCTGGTATTATGCTATTATATTTGTATAATACTTAGTGATGCCGCGTACAGTACTGTATGCTAAAATTTTCGCCAGCCAATCAGACGCCAGAAAAGAACTATACGTACTGTACGCTAAAATTTTTCAGGTATCATATAAATGGCACATCACTAATAATATTTATATAGAGAATTTATTTTTCAAGTATTATGTTCTCAAATTTATTTCATAGAGAACATTTGCAGAAAATCAAATGTTCTCAAATCTAAAAGTATGTTCTCATTGAGAACATGAGAACATAAGATTTCCAACACCGATTAGAGTTACTAACGAAAATAAATGTCGCTGGTTTAAAAAAAAAAAAGAAAGCTAAATGGTGGGAAAAAACGAATGATACTTACTATTTGTAAGCAAGTCAAACTCTAAGAAATACGTACAGTACTTTGAAAAAATAATATAAGAGTATAATAAGAGCCGGGAATAAATCAGTTGTTATCCGCAAAATGGGCATAACATATAAGTTACATAATTGATTGTTATCTTCTTATGTTCAAGTAGCAGGATCTGACGCAGCTAAAATTCTTAAAGTTGATTAATGTTAGGGTTAGCATTTAGAATAAGGTTAGAAGTTGGTGGTTATATACGGTATAACTTCGATATAACAAAGCTCTGGAGCTGGAGATTTTGCTTCGTTACATCAAAACTTTATTAGTAGCTTCGTTATCTTGGGGCTAATTTAAACATAAAAATTAGAAATAACCCTCATTATACAACTAATGTTGGTTTTACTGTACGTATATATGTAAGTTATGTCAATTGGCGTGTCGAACGAATTAAGTTTGCCAACTCGAGTTTATTATACCTCAAACGAGGTATTAAATTCCACAATAAATACAGTATATCTGTCACATATATTAAAGCAAAAATATGAACATAATAAACTATTTATGTTGTGATGTTCCAGGAGTTGCAATAGCGATATTTTTGCGTTTACGAAATTTTTTATAAAGGAAAAATCCTACAAATACTATGATATTAATGGCAACAACTACACCTATACCAGTACCAATTATTGTACCTAATGAAGGTGAATTGGAGTTTGTTAAATCAGACCCATATATATTTGACGCATCAAATGTATCAACCCATGTATAATTTTGTGTATCAAATATATATAAATTATTATTTAATGCCGAACTGGATATCGGCTGTGGTTGTGAAGGAACCATTGCACCTAAAATAAATAATTAAATTAGAGACTCTATTAAAAGGCTAAATATTACAAGCAGATTATAGCAATTTAAAAGCAAGATAGTCTAAATTTAATTTAAAATGTTATAATTACCAAATGCAATAATCATATATATTCCATACATTGTTGCTGAATGATACATAAGTGGTTGTGGTGCTTTATCTATAATAATAGCCTTCCATGTATACGGTGTAACACTTACATCTAATATAGCAACATCAGGTTGTACTTGAGTGTAATTGGATCCCGTTCCACCATAAATAAGAATAAGTCCATCTCGAACTATTTAAAATGTAATATATATATATATATATAATATTAATATTAATAATAATATTAATAAATATCATAATAGTTAAGATATGTACTTAAGACAGCTGAATGTCCACTACGAGATCCAATTTGATCGCCACGAGTCGTCTAGAACAAAAAAAAACAACCATTATAATCTTTTAAGTTCGTACAAAATATCACATCATCGTGTGAGCGTACCATAGATAACCAAACTAAATTTGCTGTATCAAAAACTGGAATCTACTTAATTAATTCAATTAGTTTGTACAAGATATAAATTTGAAAATTATAATTACTTAAGCTACAAATACCTCATTCATACTAAAAGTACTATCACCAACACCACCAATGTAATATATGAGATTGTCTTTCAGTACAACACTACACTCTATGCGACCAAGTGGGGTATTAGGCAAATTTAATGTTGACCATCTCATTGTTTTTGTGTCAAATATATTTGTATCATTATAAGTAATAGGAAGGCTTGTCGTCGTTAGGTTTGTTAAATATCCTCCAAAAAAATAATATTTTCCATTACTATCAGCAACGCCCGGTACAGATTCACGTCCTAAAAATGTACTGTTGAAATTATCAATATTTGGAGTTGTCCATTGCAAAGTAATGAAATTAAATGCATATACAGATGAGGATGGTGGCATAAGAATTGATGAATTTGACTGGTTCTGTGACATTCCACCAACTAAGTAAACTGTGGATTTATCAGTAGAGAGACAAGGAATAGCAGAAAAAAGTGAAATTGGAATTGGTGAAGCAGTAATTTGACTCCATGGAGCTGAGTATTTATTAAACGAACTTGACAAATTAAGATAAAGCACTTGATTAGAAAACCTCTGATTTATAATATTGCCTCCAAAAAAGTAGATATTTGTCCCAACTAATACACTAGTTTGCCCAACTCGTCCATCAGGGTTAAAACATCTCACGCTTATGAATGCTAAACTAATGAATATTAACGAAAAAGACAGAGTTCGAAAGGGAGTCATTGAAATTTAATTCCTAAAAAAAATACGTATATAGGTACGTACGCGAATATAAATAATTTTTAAATGCCTGATTTTCATATTAATATGTACGTCAAATTAATAATAATGCCACTAATACTTACCCTTACACTAACATAATTTTACTCTGACCTTAATGAAACTTAGTATTGAAATTTTTATCTAACGCAAATTTTAATTTGACGTACAACATTAATGATTTTATCGAAATTACTAATTTGTCAGATCCAAAAAAAGAAACCTAATATAAAGATTTTAAGAAATTAAAATTTAGCTCACGGTCAGAAAATTAGATTATTACATGTAAAATTTCTTCGGTTTTAATAGTGTCACAAGGTATGTTTACTTATCTTCTTATTCACTTTGTTCATCTTGTTATACTTATTTACTATTATTTCTCCTATCTATTCTTTTTCTTAATCATGCTTTCGTAGTCTATCACCACTATAGAGAAGTATCAATGTACAGCTTACATCATCGTTGAGCTAACTGTGAATACCTAAGAATTTACACGCGCAATATTAAATTACCTTATCCTCATCTCGTACCATTTCCATATTATTCCATACTAGATAGGTTTAAGAGAAGCATGTCCATTGTCTGATCAAACGCACTGAATGTTGAATCAGACACATGGATAATTTTCTCATGATTGGTTGATTTCATGAATTGAATTACATCTGGATTCGGGTACTCCTAATTTGGGCTTACCGGAGAGATTTCCCCGATCGGCTAGATATTCCAGATATGTCAGATCTGACAGATATTCCTGATACGCATGTCAGAACGACCAGATCTGGACAATTAGGATAATTTGGGAGAAATGATTCTTAATAATACTGGCATAAGGCCGATATGGGGTTTATTGGTGATACTAGTAATATAGATGATTCTTGTAATGTAAATAGCTGTATTCACAATTATAAATAAAGACTTTCTGGTCCTTTGTGAAAAAGATGGATCCAAATAATAAAGTATATAAGTCGTATAAATTATAAACCGCATTCATTTATTAACCACTCGCCAAATCTAACGCACCTTTTTTGACCCAACATAATTAAAGCAAGAGAAAAATATTGAATTAGGTCTTAAGATAGTTTTAATGAATTTAATTAGCAGTTATCTTAAAATTGTAGATACTTGAATATCTAAACTTAGAAGATCTGAAGAGTCCAAATCTAGTGTTTCAATGAACCAGAACCGGACCGAACTTTAGGCTAAGTTCAAATTCGGTTCAAATTTGAACTGAAACTGAACTGGATTTATTTTTAAAAATATAGTTCAGTCTGAGTTCAATATTAAACTTTTTGGGTAGGTTCAAGTTCAGTTCAGATTCAGCTCAAGAGTTCATGAACTTGTTCAAGTTCAATAATGACTATATGATAGCTTCGGACCAATAATGCTATATATTAATCTAGTATAGTTAGTTATTATTGTTGCTTAATACTGGCCTAACTCTAGTGTTCCGCAATATGGATTCAATATTCGGATCCGATCCGGACTCGATCCGCAAATCCATTTCGAATCCCATAATTTGTAGATCCTGTGAGACCAGTAAAACGGCTTGACAACCCGGGTCGTCGTTAGGGTTGCGACCCAAACCTACTGGTTTGGATTTGGTAGTGATACGGGTCGATGAAAAAATCATGGGCCGGGTCGATCCTAAAAAAGCTCGGGCCGGTCGATCGGGCCGAGCTTTTTAGCTAATACAAATTTTTCTAATAAAAATTAGTCTCGATATCTATATCAAACATGTAGAAATCCACCAGGTAGTTCCTTGTCAAATTCTAGTATACTAAAAATCATTTAGCTTTGTATATAATTATAATGCGTTATATTTCATGTTGATTAATTGTCTATGCACCTGAACATGTCAGACATTTCCATTTCTTATTATTTGCTAATTTATCACCTAAATTAGCCAACTAGTGAGTGTCTACATTATTAGTTGATTTTTAGCCAATTTTTTAGCCAGTATCACTACCCATATAGTATTTACTAGGTTTCGCTAAATGCCTCTAATTTGCCGTAATGTCAAACATTCTGACATAAATTATATTAGGCCACGCAAAGTTAATTTTTCGTTTTACGCATTACATGGATTTCAGAATCAACGGTCGGCGGTCGGATTTTTTTTTTTTTTTTTTTTTTTTTTTTTTTAATTCTACAGTAAATAATAGACTCATATTCACATTTTTCGCTTTACATAACATGGAATCAGAAAATTGGGTCGGTAATCGAATTTTTTTTTATCAGTTCTATCGGATGATTCCGGAAAATAGGTCTCTATCGGGTGATATCGGAATAATTTATGGGTAAAAATTAAATGGCAAAAATAGAACAATTGGCACAATTGGAACCTAAAAAAAAAAAAAAAATTCGAAAATTTGAAAAATTGGTCGGCGGGTAATGAAAAACGAAAAATTAACTTTGCGTGGCCTTACGGCTAGAAATCCAGATTTTTTTACATTTAAAATCGTGTTTGGAACTCAAAATGATTGTTTAAAGTCCGGCACCTTGGCAAATAAGATCAAGAAATTTTGACATCAAACAGCGATTTACCTATAACTCACCTTGTTTTGCATACTCTTCATATAGTCAACACTTTGTACACACTGTTTCTAATACGCGTTACTCTGGATTTACTAACAAATTTTTTTTAATTAACAAAAAAATTTAAAATGTGATACAGTGAATTATACCGACAAATTATATTAAATTTTTAAAAAAATAAGTTGATATAGAAAGATTTTACTATGATATCGTTATATTCAGATGTCAGTATAGCGTACCGTTATGATATTGAAAGAATAAGAAGCCATTTAACAGGTTTCGTTTTTATGTCTGTATGCAGATCCAAATCAAGTAAAAAAATAAGTACATTATACGGGTAGAACAAGTATAACTTGCACATACCTCAAATTTAGATTTTATATTTAAAACAATGGCTAGACGAGGAAATTTAACATGTCATTTTATTCATGAATACTTCGATTTTATATAGAAATCTCAAGGTGAAATTATAAAAATGGATTGTCTAATCAGATGCGTTTAAATACATTATAACCATATTCTTCATTACACTTTGTTCCTGATATTATCAGACAATCAGTTTCTTCCTAACTATTAACGATGATATGAATTCTGCTTGTTTATTACCTGGCTAACAATAAATAAATAAACAATCATTTGGCAATTTTATTTGCGCTTAGGCCACACAAAGTTAATTTTTCGTTTTGCATAACATGGTGTTCCGAAATTCCAGTCGGCGGGTCGGATTTTTTTTTTTTTTTTTTTTAAAAAAAAAAATTTTTACTATAAATTAGTAGATTCATGCTCATATTTAAGGCACCGCAAGTTAATTTTTCGCTTTGCATAACATGGAATCGGAAAATTCGGAAATTTTGTTTTTTTTTTTAACAGACCTGTCGGGTCATTTCCGGAAAGTAAGCTCACTATCGGGTGATACCGGATAAATTTACGGGAAAAAATCAAATAGCAAAAATGGAATAATTGGGACAATTGGAACTTAAAAAAAAAAAAAAAAGTTTTTTGGAAAAATTGGGTCGGCGGGTTATGCAAAACGAAAAATTAACTTTGCGTGGCCTTACAAGTAAAAGATACATTGATATTCCCAATATTCAAACAAAATTTTTACGTGCTATTGGCTTAACTATATTTAATTAATCGATAATCGATCCATCCATGGTTCTTGAATTGGATTCGATCTTTAGATTAGGCCGTTTGAGGTTAATTTTTCGGTTAACATCACTTTCCAGGACTCTCAGAATCGGAAGAGGGGGGAAAGAGGACAAATGAAACAAACATATAAAATAACAACCTATTTTTAATGCAATAAATATATTATAACGAATTGACTTCAAGTTAAATTTAGTCTAGAGATTCTAGCTGAGTTGCTAATTAGGTCGGTAAATTTGATTCAGTAGTTAACATTACATTCCTATTATAAAATAGAGGAGCAAAAATAAATAAATAAAAAATTATATGATGCATTCATCCGAGAAAAAGAACTTAGTACGTATAATTTTTACAGTCAAAACTAGTGATCGGATCTGCAAAGTACATATGTATGCAGCAATCACAGATCGGAACTTTGGGTTTACTAATTTCCCAAGTTCCTATTGGTCGAATACAAAATTTTGTCCCTCATTGAATGAAATAAATCACTGATCGGATGGCTTAAAAATTAATGTAAAAAAAGTTTCAATTTGAATAATTGGTTTGTAATTGTTATTTCCGTAAAAGTTAAACATTTATGTAAATATTTCTTCTTACTCATTAATACTAGTTCTTTAGCTCTTCACAATTGAATAAGAAAACATTTCAGAAACTCGTTTTTCAGCAGATTTTTTTGAATCGTTTTATTACAAGCTGAAATATACATTATGAGAGGACAGCAAAGTAGGAAATAAAATTTTAGCTATATTTTTTATTATATATTTATTTTGTTTTCTCGGTTAATTTTATTTTATTTAAAATTATTTTATTTTATTCTAAATTATTTTATTTTATTTTAAATTATTTTATGTTATTTTATGTTATTTTATTTAAACTATTTTTTTATTAATATTTTCCGTATAACCACGAAATAGCGCATAGGGAGTTATTTCGTGGTTATACATTATTTTTTAATTTTAATTTTTTTTATATGTTCATTTTACCGGGGGACATCAAAGTGGAGGGAGAAGGGTGATGTTAACCGAAAAATTAACTTCAAACAGCCTTATCAATCTTTGAACATGAATATACCTGAAGCCGAATAATTTAAAGATTATTCTATTAAACGTCGAATATTTATTTAATGAATTGATAGTTTTGGGTTTGACACTATTTACCGAAATGGCATACATATTTGGGTTTTAATTACGAACCCAAACTAGGTAGAAATACCGATACCCAACCCCAAACTAAATAGAAACGCCGTAACCAAAAAAAAGAATTTGGGTCGCAACCATAGTCGTCGTGTAACCTACGATCGGATAAGTCAAAAGAGACGTTTAGAATTGACGAGCGGAGATTTGGGTCATAGGTATGATGTCTTTACTTGCACAAGAAATCGAATATCAACAATAATGTCCTACTTTATATTCTCTATAATAAACACACAAAAACCACGGCTTGGATCTTCCCTTTGGACCTCAAACCGGAACACAATAACCACAGCTATTGGACACAATAACCATGGCAGTCCTCAATACGTCGAGAGTCAACCGGAAAAACAATCGTCTACGAAGTCACGTGATTAAGGCAATAAACGAGCGAAGATCTTTCGCTATGCCACTTAGTGATATATCTGGGTATGAAATATTTAGTAGAGCGGATTTATTTAGGCACTTAAAGTGTATATGGATTAAGAGGTATTCTTATTTAGGGACGATAATTGTAAGCAGCACGAAACTTAGTTTCTTTTGGGCCGTCGCAACCTTTATTTATAACAAAAGATTCGGTATTACAATAAATTCAACAAATGAGCAAATCTAACAAATACGATAAATCCGACAAATCCGACAAATTGGATAAATTGGACAAATTACGA